TCCACCCCACCCGCGCCAGCACTTCAGGAGGGAGCGATTGGAGGCGTCAGTTCGGCCATTCCAGCGGTTTCCATTGGAGCGAACCCACCTCGGTTCTCTGGAGGAGGGGCCCCGCCTGCAATACAGTACCTGCCCTCTTTTTTTTTACCGCGCGCACGCACCGACGTGCACGGGAACAACCGGAATTTTCCCTTCCAGCAGTCGAAGGAGTGGCTTCTGTAGCTTCGAGGTAAACTTCGCCTCTTTATGGCCAAAGGGGATCCATTATTCGGCGCGGTATTCAGTGGGAATGACCTGACCATTGTCTTTGAGTGCCGATTCATAAAAAAAGGAAATGAATAACGGTCCCGTGTCCGTGTTTTCAGTGTAATCGGTTGCCGGGCTACCATTTCATTCAATGCGTGCTCTGACAGTGGTTGCAAAATTCGGGGAATTTTCCACCATGGGAATTAACGGGACTGGGCAATATGGGCAGGGACGCCAATTCACGTGGATATAGGCGGGGACAAACCAGGAACTCTTAATATGGAAGGTCCGTTTTTAACAACCAGTACATAGTACTGTACATTTCGACCGAAGGTCTATTTTTGTTTCATGACATATCTGTTTTTCAACGTGCGGTTAGAGATAAATTATGAAATCTTTCCATAGTGGCTATTTCTATGTTTAACAGAGTGAAACATGAAGTTGATTAAATTATGACGGAAGTGACGCAACAGCGCACAGTATGGTGGGAGAAATGGTGACGATCAGTCGTGACACCCGTCACATATGTTCATCTCGTTCAGCAGTCCACAGTTATGTAGAGAAGGCACGCGCTCATGCTCTCCTTCCGCTGATGCTCAATAACTGAGAAGTCGTCGTTTGTCATACCATCCACAGGCAGAGTTTGATCACATAACGCGCTACACAGATACAGAAACTTCAACACAATCATAATTCAATTACTCTCGTGCACTTGACTTTGGAGTCAACCAATCCTCCATCAAGTGTCTCCAGTTGGTCCAGAATGCTGCTGCTCGCCTCTTGACTGGTACCCGTTGGAGGGAGCACATCACTCCGACTCTGGCATCCCTTCACTGGCGTTAGTCTGCAGCAAAAGATGCCGCATGCTGCCATGTGCGCCTGTAAGCTGCGATCGTTTCACAGTGCAGTCATCGGGCTGTACAAGGCAGAGCGCATCTGTGTCACCCTGGGAGTAAAGATGCAGAACTCCCCTGAAGGTGGTTGCAGGCATGAAGGGAAGGGGAAGTGGAGCAGCAATAATTCATTTTTCACACCGCAGCTTTAGAAATTGTTGCAGCGCTGCGGTGATTGCCGTGCGGAAGTTCGTGATGAAGTGGCTTGCATTCTTTGCGGGATCTTCTTCATCTGGACTGCACCGAATCTAGTGGTGGAAAGACCGAATCAAATTGCAAATCTGCGTTATCTCACATTCAAACTTACACATTTAATGTCGATAGGTTGTCCACATAACAAAGCTGAGTTGGATTTTTTTTTCCCACCTGCGTTTGGCTAAATCACAACAAACCAGGAGCGTTTCCAAGAAACTGTGAAGAGAAAAAAAAGATGCAGCAAACACAATGTTAGGGTGACATCATGTGGACAGATTTTGAAGGACAGAGGAAATGACGTGTGGCTCAGTGCACTAGTGTTGTTTTTTCCTCCTGAATAGAACAATGTGGAAATTAGAACTGTATCTTGAGGTACATTTCCTGATGCAACACGTGTTCTTGTTGACAGCTGGCAAAAAAACAACAACAGTAGCCTTCAAAGAAATGAAAGGAAGAAGAAACATGAAAGATGACATGATCTGAAACGAAGCAATAATGCCATTGTGTCAAACTCTACCTTTACATTGATGCATTTGGCACCTTGTACGATTACCCCCGCACCCCCAAAACATTTTATTTGGGATCTTACTCATTTCATTTCTTCGTGTTATCTGTGGAAGAACGTCATTGCATGATCATTTTCAGACACAAGACATAACTTATCTACTTTGTCGCCACAATCACAGTTTGAGTTTCCTTCAACCAAGATCGTATCTGCGGGGCCCGGGGCATGAACTCGCGCCGGGGGCTGATCTGGGCGACGCCGGCCGTTCCACCCCCACCAGCAGGATGGGGCCACACCTTGACCTGAGCCGCATGTCGTTGAGTTCTCGTGTTTGTGTAAATACACGAGGTGGTGCTGCTGCTGCTGCTGCTGCTGCTGCTGCTGCTGCTGCTGGCCTACGGCAGACTGCCGAGTAAGGAAAAAAAAAAACGCTCACACACACTCGAGAGAGTGCAAGCCTCGTTGGAAAACAAAACAAAACAGAACTCATGAAGGCCTACATTTTATGTTATGTTGATTTTGTTAGTCCACCTCGACATGGGTCACTCAGTGTGACCTGCTGCAGCAAAAAAATGCTCTTTTAGTCACTATAGTCAGCTACTTTTCATTTCTTTACTTTGCTTTTAAATGTCATGAACAACTTTGAGCCAGGTAGACACTGTGTGGGCCCCCCCCCCCCCACCCCAACCCCCAAAAGTTCCCCGGATTCAGGAGTCGGCAGCATGACATTGCCGCAGGCTCATCAAACACACCTCTGAGCGTGGAGGCTCTCGTGAGGTCCAACTTTTAAAAAAGCATCCATCCAACCGTTTTGTAATCCGCTTTTTCCTTATGAGTGTTGCGGGTGTACTGGAGCCGATCCCGGCTGTCTTTGGGCAGCAGGCGGGGATCACCCTGAACGTGTTGCCAGCCAATCGCACGGCACCCCTGGATAAACAATTATTTGTATTCATAAACACACCCAAGATAATTTCAAGAGTTGTTTTTGGAATGCGGGCGGAAACCAAAGTACCTGGAGAAAAGCCACGCAAGCGAACATGTGTTGCCGACTCCAAAAATGTATTTGGATCTGGATGATTTTATTTCGTGCAACCATTCGATGAAATAAAATGGAGTCAATTCAACCAACTTTTTTACAGTGTCATTTTTTTTTTTTATTCGATTCCTGATGAATTCTCAGTTGCCACTTTGTGTCAAAAGCAAGATGAACACAAACCAAACAAGCGCAAGCCGAATGCATGCCGTATTCACTGCTATTTTTCAACGTGCCCTGGACCGGTCAAGAACGGTGCTGTATCCGCTGAAAAGAACTCAAGTTGAAAATGGTTTCAACCTGGCCCTTTCCAAACACGAGATGAATGTTTCTGATGATGATTTGAAGTGACGCATCTGCGTTTTGATTTCAACAGAACGCAAGTGGCGATCGGCACTTCTGAGGAGATCTCGTCCGAGTGAGCGGCAAGTTCGAACGGGCGCTCTGCTCGAGTCCGCTGCTGTGCGTCGACACGAACTTAGGCGGCGAGTTGGAACAGGGGGTCTTCCGCAAAGAGTGCCTCCACCAGCGTTGGGCCCTTCAGGGGTGGCGCGCACTGAGGTGAAAGTGAAGTGGGGAAGGGCCGAATGGTGGGTTGCATCACGTTGGGGATCTGCGGATCGGGTAGAAGAGGCAGAACGACTCCTCCGTCGGCGGCGGGTGCGTCGGGGAAGGAAGGCACGGTCACGGGTTGGCCCATGGCCGGCAACTGCCTTACGGTGCCCTCCGGATGGTCGTGGACCGTCGTCTCGTGGTCGTGCGTATGATGATGATGGTGATGCTCATGCGCGTGCAAGTGTTTGTGCTTGTGGTCGTGGTCCAGGGCAAGCTCGTGGTCGTGCTCGTGGGTGTGGACCCCCGCCTCGTGCTTGTAGTTATGGTGGTGGTTGGGCGAGTCGCCGCTATGATCGTGGGCCTGAGCGTGGTGCGCGTGCACGTGGTCGTGTCCGTGGCCGTGGTCGTGGGAGTGGTCGTGGGCGTGCCTGTGGGCGCTTCCCTCGTCGTGGTCGTGCGTGTGGTGGTGCCCGCTGCCCGCGGCGTGCTCGCTCCCGTGGTGAGCGTGACTCTTGGTGTGGTCGTGGATGTGGTCGTGAGTGTGCGCCGAGTCTGCGGGGTGCGCTTCGTCGTGACCGCTGCCGTGCGGGTGGGTGTCGTTGTGAGTGTGATCCAGCTCATCGCCCAAAACGTGGAGTTTCTTCTCCCGTTCAGCACCCTGGGAAAAAAGGGAGTGTTCCTGATGCCATAAATGTTAAAAAAAAACAAAAAAAAACCCTCACTGAATGCTTCTTGAATTGCCGATTTCAATCTCCATTAAAATCATGAAAGTTTCCCGAACACAAAACTACTCTTGCAAGCAAAATCAATGCATCGTGGACGATGTATTTGAGGCTCAGAATAAAAATGAAATCTGGAAACATTCTGGCTCAGTCAACGTTATGCATCATTATGTGATCGGATCAGCCAAGGTTGGAAAAAGCCGATGTACCCTCAAGTTAGAAATTGAAGCCACGCAAGCTCAATTTACGAGGCAAAAACTCAAGGCCCCTTTTTGTGGGAGGGGCTTTGAGAAATATAGTCTACAACAGGTGCGTCAAACTCATTTTTGTCGCAGGCCGCATTTTAGCTACCGTTTCCCTCGGAGGGCCGTTATGACTGAATCTATATAAAAACGGTCAATAATAACGGTTTATTCAACTATTGCTTAAGTTACTGTCATGAGGGGTTTGGTAACAAGAAAATACTTAACAATATGTCTCTTATTTATTACATTAAATAATTTTACATTTTGGTAGAAATTTTAGCAAGCATCGTGGAAGTTGACATGTTTGATTTGCTTTCGCAGGCCACATAAAATGATGTGGCGGGCCAGATCTGGCCCCCGGGCCTTGCGTTGGACACCCGTGGTCGACAAAGATGCATCCTAATTGCACGAGAGGCTAAAATCCTGCTTTGTGGCCTTACCTCAGGCTCGTAGATCTCACACACTACGTCGACCTCACTATTGCCGGTGGGAGTGTGGTGGTGGGAGGCCTGACAGAAACCTTTGTGCTGAAGGGGAAAAAAACAAACAAACAAACAGAAAAGACACGAGGAAATGATTGAATGATCCATCCATTCGCTTTTCAGACTGATTATCCTGGACAATCAAGGCAGTTGAACATCGGTCGACTCGTCAATTTGTTCGAAACTAGGAAGAAGCGGTTACACTAAAAAAAGCACACAGGCGGACATGCAAACCCTCACGCGTGAAGTCCAGACAATGTCAGGAAGACAATTTGAGAATTTCTCTCAGCCTTACAAACGAGTGTCGTCATGTTGAGCGAATTTGTCGAGACTTACAGAAAACTCGCACTCCATGAGCGGGCAGTGGTTGTCCGCGCTTGTTTCTTTGTCGTTGGGGCAGGTTGTCTCCTGGATGGTGTACTCGGCGTGGTAATACATTATTCCCATGGCCATCTGGACAAAACGGAAAAGGGCGGAACAAAATTCGTGGACCTTTGACACTTTCCGTGTATTTCACCGGAAAGCCAAATATCACGAGCATCTTGTGAGGCGAGCGGAGGTCGCCGCGACGCGTAAAGGCGAGCGGCGTCGAGTGCGGCTCGTACCCCCGATGTCGCTCGGGTGATTTGCAGCAGAGCAAAGCGATTGGCCAATCCGCTCTCCTTGTTGAACTTCTTCAGAGATTCCGACACCGTCTTTTGAATCTCGGCGTTATCGGAACTGAGCAAAGTCGAACAATCCGGGCACAATTGGATCACCCTTTCTGCGGGCACTGAATAGAAAGAGGGAAAATCAAACCATGTCGTCCACTATACAGCCATGACCGTGTGTCTTTGTTGCCATTTTTAGTCTGATTCCAGAGAGGTTTGAAAGAGAAACGGGCTGTAAAAAAATGAAAGGAAAAAATGACAAGCATCTACCTGGTCTGACGACACAGTCGTACTTGTAGAGACGCACCACCCGGTGCACCCTGTTCATGTAGATTGCCGCCTTGCACTGTCCGTATACCTGAAGGGCAAAAAAAACATTTTGCGTTTTTTTTTTTTCAAACTAATACCAGTCTAAGTATTCACCCCTCGAGTACAGAGACCTGCAGAACTTTGGGTTATATCTGCTTTCATTTAACATCATGGCAAAAAAAAAAAATTGTCAACACAGATGATGAGTCGTCCATGTGCCAAACGGCCTCAGGACGTACTCGAGGTTTGATGGTTTTTTTTTTTTTTTTTTTTGCCTGAAAGCAGGGTTGTCAAACTCAGTTTTGTCGCGGGCCCCTTTGGACAGTGAATCCACAAAAAATTTTTGACTCTTCTCATCAACGATTATTCAAGTGAGTGTAGCCAAGGGAACAAAATGATTGCCAAATCTCACCATGACTTATTACGGGTGACAATTTGACATTTCGGCAGCACGGCGGTCGACCGGTGAGCATGACCGCCTCGCAGTGCAGGGGTGCGGGGTTCGATTCCTGGTTGGAGTTTGCATGTTCTCCCCGTGCTGTCGACTGAAAACGACACCGCATGTGCTCGGCGCTCAGCCAATGACCAATCGCGGCTAAACTTGCGAAGTTCACGCGCCTAGATGTCAGTTGACCACCGAGCGCACGTGATGGATGTCCTTTTCAGTCGACGGCAAGTGACAAAAATGTTTGTATTGGCAAAAAAACAAAAGAACAAAAAGAAGATGCTTTGCTACTAACAGGCGTGTCTGTTGTGGGGCGAGGCTGGCAGTCCTTCCAGTCCTTTTTGCTGTGCACGCTGCAGTTGGTCTCAACAACATCCAGGGTCAGGTAGAAGACGATGCCGTTTTCCGCCTGGAATGCACATCAGACACAATCAATCGTTTTTGAAACGCTCCCTCCATGAGCGACAATCGGAGTATAAAAAAAAAAAAAAAAAAAACAGAGTCGCTCAAACGTCGAATTTGGAGGTCATTCTATCGTTTCCGGTCAATCTGCGACTCGTCCAAAAATCCGAACGAACCAACCCCGAGCGACACGTTTGTCAAGGAGTTGGAAGGCCAAGTCAGCGGCGAGACTCACGTGCTTTTCGGAGTGCGCGTTGGATAAGCGGTGAAGGCTGAGGATGTAGCCCTCCTTGCGGTCCCGGTTAATCTTGGTCAGAGCTTCCCCGGCAGCGCCCATCGCCAAAGCATCTTGGCAAGACTCCGCGGCCAGGGCGTCCTGGTCCAGCGGCGCGCCCTGCACGCACGCGCAGGCCAAAGCCAACAGCAGCGAGAACACGAAGCGTTTGTTCATGGCGCGGGCCTCCGACATCAGTCTCCCCGGCGCTACGTTTTGCTCGGCGAGATGCGGAGGGAGAGCCAGAAGGGGGACCTTTTATATTCTGCGGCGCTCCGACACGCAACGGCTCCTCCTCGTCACACCGAGTCAATACAACCGTTGACCCTTCCCCCACCCCACCCCTCTCTCAAAACACACAATCCTATCGGGCTTGATCTGCTTGATTGACCCCTCCGTCTATTGATCAAAAGACTTGCATAAGAGAGACGATTTGTTCTCTGGGACAGTAGGTGAGCAACAAATGACTTGATCTACTCATGGATTCGGTTGCTCGCCTGTTCGGTTAGTTGAGTCAGTCGGTATCAATTAAAAATAAAAACAGAACGGCCAATACAACGTTTTTCAGGCAAACGAGCCACTCGAAGACTCCTAGTATGAAGCCACAGCTTTTTTAATTTTATTTTTTTTTACATGACAAAGCATATTTCAGAAATCGTTGTCCACAACATGCCAACACAAAAGCCATCAGCAAAGAAAATCGTGGCCCGCAACGCGGCAACGTAAAAGTCGCCATCTCTCAACAGGCAAATGAAAAAGTCATGAAAAGCGTTTTGAACTATGAGCCTCACCCTCAAGCTTCAATGGAAAAATCAATATTTCTTATTCAACTGCTGTGTTGCAAGGCCTAACATATGTTCACTTACGAAAGTCAAACACACGACCGCTGTGAAGCGGTACGGTTTTTTTACGCACGTGGGGCACAAGGATCATACACTTCCATTAAAAATAGAATGTCAGTAAAGGCACTCGAACCCGACAAAATGAACCTTTCAAACGGCAAAATTGATGGGAGCCTTCACTTCACATTTGGTTGCACAAACTTGCAATCACACGATTTCCGAACTCGATGAGTTTCGCCCCTGTTCAAAAGGCTTTCGATCGGGCCTCACAGAAGGAAAGTCCCCCCGCATTTCTTGCTCGTGACATGTATGTCGAAAGCACAGATAACATTTGGGGCCTCAGAGTACATGGTACGTGTGTGCGCACACATGCCATCTTGATAGCCTATGACATGTGCACAAACAAGGGGGGCGGGGGGGGGGCTTTTTTTTCAAAGCAGCTTCAGCTTTTCAACTGTCACAATGTGCATTCGAAGACCGCAAGAGAAAGGCAGATCAGGCAAGACTGAGTAGGAAAGGTTTCGTAACCAATGCCCCCCCCCACCCCCAAAAAGTGTAAAAACCATAGGACAAATAGACAATTTAAAGAAAACACGTGACTGCAACACATCCACCCGCTACCCAAATAAATAAATAAATAAATAAATAAAAAGAAACAGTAAATCGGTTTTAAACTGGAACAGGGAGTCAAGCCGGGTGGCCGTGTGTGTGTGTGTGTGTGTGTGTGTGTGTGTGCGTGTGTGTGCGTGTGTGTGCGTGTGTGTGTGTGTGTGTGTGTGTGTGTGTGTGTGTGTGTTTTCTTCTTCCAAGGGCTGTAGGTGTGTCTTGCAAAGTTTTTTTTTTCAATAAACTTTATTGAAACTAAAAAAATAAAACAGGTAAATATTCAAATATAGAAATGGTATACAAAATCACAAAACGCACCAGGGAGGTTATAGTTACAACAAGTATAAAAATAAAATGAAATACAAAAGAAGATGTAGCGTAAACACTCGATTTTAAAGTTTGTAAATTGTATGTTTTCGTAGCCTTTTGTTTCGTACAGCGTGTCTTGCAAAGCAGAGACCCGGATCGGCTACGGTCAGCGTCATTGCTGGTTTTTTTTTTGTGGCACTAGGTGGTGCCATTGCATTACATACACGACACGTGGGGGTCGCTTTGCCTTGTCGTCCACACAACCGCTCAGCTCACCGAGGTGTTTCCCTTCTGGACTGACTGAGACACATGAAACAAAAGGAACGGAAAGTGAAAAGTCCAGTCGAAGCTCGTTACAAAGTACCTGCGGAGACGTAAACAATCGACATGTCATCACGGTCGCTCGAGGTAATCATTTCCAATAAAATGGCCGCCAACTACTTTCACTAATGACGTCTGCGTTGTGAAGATGATCGTTGAAAGCAAATCGGCTTCTGGAAAACGAATCACGTGGAATCGGCACTTTGAAATGTGGAACATTCTCGGGGTGGAAACGTTGAAACGAGGCTCCACTGTGTTCGCTCATTCACATGTTGATGACCAACTTGTGGTTCAATAACTTGCTGAGGGGCACAAGGGAGGCGGTGATCAGCAGAGCGGGCAAAAGTAGGCCCCCCTCTCACACGACAGGCCAGTGATAGATGCGCTCCCAGCATTGCTCAGCAACTTACTTCCAACATGATCATTCAACCATAAAGTCAATATCGTCAGTAACAGTCAAAGGCAGGACAGGAATATCCAAGAACATCATGAAATGTGTTTCTCTCTTCATCTTGCTTTAGTGTCCGAAGGTGAAAACGCATTCATGGACTCAATTCACCCTTTCATACATTATGCAGATGTCATTTCAGTCTGCAGTGGCTGAATTTGTCGTGTGCGATCGCTAAATTGACGTCAAATGTGCGATTTGTATTTCCTCGCCTTTGTTCTAAAACAGGACGTGGTTTTGAAGCGCAAAATGATGCTTCTGGGCTACTTTTGTACACGTTTCTTAAAAAGGAAATTGCAGGTTCTTCCATTTGTGTCTTCAAGCGTCCCTTTGTCGTCCATTGGAAAAACTGCCTGTGCCTCTGGGCCTTATGGACTTTTCTCCAATTAAGAATTCCAGTGGGTGGAGAGCTTCATCTGTCACCGGTTCAAAGATAAACTTCAGAGTCCATGCAGGAAGCAAACTTGATTGACCCAGGCATTGTTTTGTTTTCATCGCGACTGGGCTTCTTTGCTTGCGTTTGATGCTAATGAACAGCAGATACCCGAAAGCAAAGGATCTCTTGAAACTACTTTAAAAAAAAAATAGTCGTCACTTCCATTGCCTTGACCCTAGTCCACAAAACGACTCCGCGTTGCGCATTTATTGACTCGTTTCAGTTTTACAACACGTAACCATGGAGAAGGTTGGTGAGGTGAGGAAGTCTTTGACTGAGTCCTTGTAGGAGGGATTACAGGGAAGGCAACTTTCATTCCATGCACTTGAAGGAAAATCCAACTAACAAACACGCACACACAGTGTAGCTGTTTCCATCTTGAGCGTAATGACCCCGAAAGCGGATCTGAGGGAGAGGGGGAGACGTTCACTTGCCGAGTTGTTTCGGAGGCCTCGTCGTTCAGCAAGTCACGGAACAATGATGACTTGTGACGGGCCTACGTGTGGAACGGCATGCGCGGCGGCGCAGGTTGAGATTAGGATCAAAAAGCAGCCTTGCTGTGTGGCCGCGTCGACTGCTTGGGATGACGGATGAGACAATGCGCGTGATCAGGCTTTGTCTGCTTGCACAAATCCGCGTCGTCTGCAAACAGTGACGCGTTGCCCAAGTGCTCCGGTCGTGTGTCCGTATGAAAAGTGATGAACGGAGACAGCGCGTTCTTCTGGAAAGGACTCACGTACATTTGTTTAGTACTTACACCCCCCCCAAGTGTTACTTATTTAATATCTGACTGGTAAGGAAATGAAGCATGCCGATGAGCAAAACAAAACATTTGTGTCAGGTCCTCCTTTTCCATTGCTCCCCCGCCCCGCTGTCCGGTGGGATAATGGCATTTGTGTCAACGTGCACTCGGAGGGGTGGAGACTGCTGTGTTGAACAGAAGAAGATCAGCTTCCAGAACTGCTTCAAAACCACCTCACTTGTGTTTGTGCGCGCGCTGTCAAAGCGTTCAACAGAAGAAGATCAGCTTCCAGAACTGCTTCAAACCACCTCACTTCTGTTTGTGCGCGCGCTGTCAAAGGCAAAAGAAATCGTGTTGAACAGAAGAAGATCAGCTTCCAGAACTGCTTCAAAACCACCTCACTTGTGTTTGTGCGCGCGCTGTCAAAGGCAAAAGAAATCGTGCCAATTTGGGCCGCTTGACATCTCACCATGTGTAAAGGACTTGCGACCCTTCCTGCAACGTGCCTGAAAAGGTAAGTAAGATTTCACATGACAGAGAATTAAAAAGGACTGTTTTAGGAGCGTTTTTTTTTTTTTCTTCGACTGTCAGATGACGTTCATTTTAGCTTTCATCTTACGTCTCGCATTAGTTTGAATCAAATGAGCTGACAATTCAATGAGATTTCGCTTTGTTCTCCTTAGTGCCAAAGACATCAAACACAAAATCAGCTTCCTGCTCCAGAAGCAAGAGCCGCAACAGGTGGACCGGAAGCAGACCAAAGAAAAGGATGAAGACGCTGCAAAAAGGTAAGAAGACAATTTCATCATTCATTTGGGAATAGAAATGAAAGGTTACACAGCCAAGTAAGTCACTTTGATTGATGCCCTGTCGATGAAAACGTTCAAGTCGCTCTACGTGCGGTCCACTCCATCAAGCGGAGGACCTGATTAGCACGGAGGATCTCGCAACGAGGAGTTCAAATCAAATTGGAACTACTTCAACGTCTTTCCTGAGACTGATGCAATCACTTAGTGCAGTAAAAAAATTGTTGTTCAATCCCCAGTCAACAGAAACCCACTCTGCATACGGCATTCTTACTTTAGTCTCATGCCTTGACTTGAGTCTCGTGAAGAAGAATAATAAGAATAAGAAAGCCTTTATTTGTCTCACAATGGAGAAAAATCCCCAATTTACAGCAGTGAAGAAGGTTTAGATGGTTGCAAAAATAAATAAAAGTGTACATACATTCATACACACATATATATGTATGTATATATGTATGTATATATGAGGACATACTAGGATTGCTCCCGTCGATTTGGTCAGGGAGTCAGGCGAGGGGGGCCATGATCAGGCTCGCAACAATTATCGACTGCTGGGTCGCTGCGGGCTGATTGATTCTTTCTACTCATTTTAGAGTCTCTTAGCAAACAAGGGAAGATATTGGGTGAGGGTCAATAGATAGTGGATTATATTAAGAGCAAACAAAAATGTTGTGTTCCCTTTTCTTTAAAAAAAAAAAAAAAAACTGATCGAAATCAATTGTTTTAGGATGCCAACTGCTGCTGAGGTGGGGAAATGGAAGGAATCGTTCAGTTACGTGATGAACTCTGAAAGTAAGTGTGAATAAAATGTTACACATTCATTGTGCCCCCCCCCCCACACACCCCCAAAAAAAAATGTACGTAAAGAAGTCAACCGATGGACCTAAACTAACACCTCCATGTGATTATTTTAATGACTGTCAGTCTGGTCAGATACAAGCCAAGTCAAGTCACGTTTCTTTCTATCGCCCTTAATCACAAACGGTCTCAAAGGGCTTCACATCCCCACAGTTGACAAATATTCGTGACATCGCCCTGACCTGAACCCACAGGAGGGCAAAACCAAAGAGAAACCCCACCTTGGGAAGGGGCTGCAGATAGGGGAATCCCCCTACCAGGCTGTCATGGATGCCGAGTGGGCAACATTTGACACAATCTTGTATGCAACAATGTTCGTTACAATAATACAACGAAATCCTTTCGGAGAGGCGGGTCCCCATGTGAACCCGGCCCAGTTTTCCAATGAAAAAATTATTCGTAGCAGTAAATGCTTGAGTCGGAATTGAAATGCGAAGCTCGGAAGACTTGGCCCGAAGCCCCGAACACTCAGACGGAAGCACCGCGTATGTTCTCATGCTCGGCTTCCCTGCTACGTGTCGCGACGCATTACTGGGCCCTCCCTCGGGAGCTTGGTCGCCAGTGCCGAACAGCTAGCGTGTGTGTGCGTGTGGGAGTGTGTGGAAGAGCAATGGCCTGAGGGTCACCGGCAAAGATCTGACCTGCTCCTTGCGTGACCACAATCGCTTCATTTGAACGTCATGACACGTTTTCCGAGTCTTTCCAGGCCACATTTGCCGGAATTGATACAGTCTGGTATTCGTTCTAAAATCGTAATGAGTCTGATGCTAAGTGAGAACTTATGGGGTCATATCATGGTTTAAAAATCTGGCTTTGGCACAACTCGACCGAGCTCAACGCACCACGCACGAAAACAAGGGGCTCTAATTTTCTGGACAGCGCACGTGCACTCGGGTGTTAAAACCCGGCACATCTTGACTTTTCGTGCCAGTACAATGTGGCGCTCCGACATGTCCCTCTCCCGCCGTTTTCTTTGACCTCCGCCCAGCGCACCATGACAATTTATGGACCGAAAGTCGACCAGATTTTCGACGAGTTCAAAAGCAGGTCTAAGTTGTGGCGCAGGTCTTCTAATGCCACTTGGGTCAGGACCTGGTTTTGCAAATGATTTGCCTTGGTCTAATTAGTTTTTTTATGTCACAAAAAAACCCAGTCATTGGAAGAGGACTGTGCAAACTACCCAGCGCACCTTGACAATTTATGGACCGAAAGTCGACCAGATTCGAGTTCGAGTTCAAAAGCAGGTCTAAGTTGTGGCGCAGGTCTTGTAATGCCACTTGGGTCAGTACCAGGTTTTGCAAATGATTTGCCTTGGTCTAATTATTTTTATGTCACAAAAAACCCAGTCATTGGAAGAGGACTGTGCAAACTTTTGATGTCCACCATGGCTACACTAGTTGAGGTCCATAGGTTGGGTATTTCATGATGATGCTAAACATATCCTTTTTAAAAACAATAATCATCTAATTTAGCAATTTAGAATTTCCAGAGCACATTGAATGCTTCGTTCGGCTCTGTGGCAAGCATTGCCGATGGAAGAGCGTTTCATGTTTGATATCTTTGGCAGAGGGTCGATCGGTGTTTACCGGCTTCCTGATGTCGGAGTTCAGCCAAGAGAACATGCAATTCTGGCTCGCGTGCGAAGACTTCAAGAAGACTCCGACTTGCGAGTTGGAGAAGAAAGCAAAGTTCATCTACCGGCGTTACGTGGCGCAAGACTCTCCCAATGAGGTAAGCGGGACGCGGTAGCACGGCTGAGAACACAATGCCAAATGCAAAATACGATGATTACGTATTCTGTTTGGGAATTTTTTTCTTCGTGTCTGTTGAAGGTCAACCTGGATGCCGCGACCAGAGAGGAAACTCTGCAGAACGTGACGAGCGCCTCTCGCGCGTGTTTCGACGAGGCTCAGAGGAGGATCTACCTTTTGATGGAGAAAGACTCCTACAGACGTTTCCTACACTCCAAGCTGATCCTCGAATTGTCTCAGGCCGACGCCTCGGTTGCACGGAAGAAAGAAAAAAGTGGCTGGGACACTACCGCCATCCGGCAAGAAAACGCTGGCGGTGCCTAGGCAGGAAGCAAAACCCGAAGAACATGTCAACCATTTCCATGCGAGATAACTGTGGAGAAAAGCGCATTTGCGTGCGCCGTTGAACACCTTTGAGTCACATCAATGCATTTGGATGCGAAAAGAAGAAAGAAACCCCGGAAACGCAGCCTGCCCAGTCTTGAGTTTTGTCTACTACCTCAATGTACTTGGAAATGAATGTCAGTCACTTTTTTTTTCTTTTGGATTTTGTCCTGGGAAATCCCAAAACTTTTTTTTTTTTTGTATTTTGTTTGAAAACAATATTAACATGTATAGATATAGGAAGAGATTGAAAACCATACTAACGGTTAATTATTGAAGGAATATAAAAAGAAAGCATTTGATCATTTAGCATGCCTTAATGTTGCATTCCTAAATTGATTTGGGCTTTTACCAATATAATATGAAAGCAGTTGATTTGAATATACCCTTGCATGATTATTTAATGATGACAAAAAAAGTTGTTTTTGAATTGTTGTCCTGTAAACAAGCTCATTTATTGTGGCGAGTCCACTTCCGGGGATCCTCTGTTTGTCTCCTTCCATGAATGGTCAGGGCGGGCCGGAAGGTGTTCCCACACCTGCAGCTGATCAGCAATCCCCTCTTGTGGGTTGAGACCTCTGCCGAATTGCGAGCGGGTGCCAGATGATTTGTGATTTACAAGTCTGCCTCCCTGCGGTTTCCGCTCCACTCGACCCCGCGCTTATCCTTCATTCGCTTTTGATCCACTTCAAACACATTTTGACTGAAAATATTCCTTTATCCAGAGAGTCTTGTTTGAATGAAATTTTCATGATCGGTTGAATGAAAAATTTGCGCCAAATGGCTAACACTGTCCAATACTGAGATGATCAGTCCTGACTCGACTCGCATGAATAACATTGCTCTCTGTGAAAGCGAGAAAAAGACCAAAACAGAAAATAAGACAACAATAAAGAATATGTTCGGAAAGGCGGACTGTCTGTTGTTCGCGCATTTTGGTCAGCTGGTGGCAACTGGTGCTCTCCGGGCTCTCCCTGAGAGATAAGGTGAGAAGCTCGGTCATCCGGGATGGGCTCAGAACAGAGCAGCTGCTCCGCCACAGTGAGAAGAGGAGGATGAGGTGGCTCGGGCATCTGGTTAAACTGCCTCCCTACAGTGTAACGACGTGTTCCAGGTATGTCATAGAAGGAGGAGGCCCCCAGCGACAACCGAGGATTTGTTGCTGAGACGATGTCTCCTGCCTGACGACCCCTGAGAACCACTGGAAGAGTTGGACGAAGCGGTTGGGGAGGAGGACGTCTGGGGGGGCTACCCTGCTAAAGCCACTGCCCCTGTGACCCGATCCTGGGGAAGCAGGAGAAAATGAATGGATGGACGGATGCATTCCCAAACGGCCGCTCAATTCGTGTCAGATTGGCACGCGTCAGGTTGAAGTTCAGATGAGCGAGTAGGAGGCTCAACTCGGGGCCCAAGAGCTAAAAGAAATGGCCGTCAGATGTCACAGTCATCAGAAAGGCTCAAGTGGCAGGCACGTTTTTTCCAAGTCAGGATGTTCACCGGTGGGCCCCAAATTAAATTCCCGCCCCCCCCGTTGAACATGAATAACAGGCCAAAGAACACGATGTCACGAGAAACACACCTTGACCACGTCCCGTCGTGCCGATGACTTCATTTTGTGTCTCCCTGCCCGCAGCGATATTAGATCAGGGTTGATCAGCCACAGACCGGCAGACCGAGCAGAGATTCGTTCCACATTAACTGGCTTATCACTGGATGTTCTCTGCCGCCTCCTCAACATCAAGCTGCTTTAAACGCCGCTAATGGAATCCTGACAGGATCTGAGCATTTAATATAATCATCCATGCGAGACAGCACGTACACACGCAGGCGCTCGCCACGTGCACGGCGTGACCCGGGATGGACAATAAATGGACAACAGCTGGCGGGGATGCGTGGCCAAATCACTTTTGTGTCTCTCTCGTTTCGCTTTGACGGTAAACATGACAGGATTGAGGTGCCGGGGTGGGGTTACTGAATCTATATTATGCGGATGCAGATTTTGTACATGTACAAATGCGAATTCCAGGAAAGTTGGGACGGCGTGTAAAATGTAACTCATGACAGAAGACAATGATTGGCAAATCTTCTTCAACCTTCATTTCATTCAAAACACGACAAGACGTTTCATGTTCAAACTGGTCCGTCCAACCATGACCTGAGCCGCTTCGTCCTCACGAGAGTCGTCGGTGTGCTGCAGCCCAATCCGGCCGCCCGGGCAGTGGGCTGCCTTCATCCGGAAGTGGTTGCCGGCCAATCGCACACAAACGACCATTCGCATTCACAATCACAACTCGGGACAATGTACTCGTCAGCATTAGAGGTTCGGGGAACAGATGTGCATTTTACCCCTACCGGGGCACGAACACACACCAGTGCCATCTCCGATGCTGCCTTTTGAACGTAACAATCCAACAACAGTCCTTTTCGTCGTCGGCCCCGGAGGACACAACGGTTCGTGGTTTCAAAAAAATGAATTGTTGCAAAAATGTGGACTCGTCAGACCACAGCACACAGCAACCAACGCTGGCGGTTTTTAATGCCCTGAGGGATCAAAAGTTATTCCATGTTGGTTTTCGGGCCTTGCCGGTTTATGCGCAGAGATTTCTCCAGATTCTCCATCATATTATGGATCGCAGTTGATGGAATCACAAAATTCCTTGCAATTGCACGTTGAGAAAGGTTGTTCCTAAATTATTGGACCATTTGCTCATTCAGTTGGTCCCAAAACGGCGACTCGCGTCGACGCCAGATGCACCTTCCAAACGATTTTGCTCACGCTTTTGAAAGACACCCCGTTATGCGCTGTGGCAGCTCTGAAAACAAACCAAAGTTCTTGTCGCCGGTTGATCATGTCATGTCATCCGATAATTCGTTCTTGATGCGAGCAGAAGGCAGCGGGAGCGGGATGACGCATTGGCTCTCAATCTTCTCTCGGCAGATGCTGCAAATGGCAAACTCATGAACGTTGTTGGTGTAACGGTGATCTTATTTCCCCACGTCCATAACAACAGATGAGGTCTTCTCTAAAAGGTGGCTCCAAATCCCCGAGGCCTCCGCAACACTGAGGCCGAGGCTGACGTCAGTTCCATCGTCGCTGAGGCACGAAGTCAACATCGTGTCTTTGACCCCTTCCTGGATCGTATTTACGTCTTGAAAACTCGTGACGACATTTCCGCGTTGCCGGATCGCGTTCCCCTTTATTGTCGTTGGCATACTGGTGAATATATTTAACGACGCCGACGCGCTGCCCTCTGAGGCTCCTCGCGACAATGCGCAAGATCCGTAAAGCAAACAAGTCATTGGAAATGTCACCAAGCCCCGCCCCCTCCCTGCGAGGCCCGAAGGAATCGGAGCTTTTCCAACTTCTTCTTGGAAATAGCCGCGGTTGTGACCGGGCGAGCCTTTGACCGTGTTTGTGTTGGCCGACTCTCTCTGTCACATCTGTTTCCGTTCTGTTTTTCACTCATCAGATGGCGGATGAAAAAAAAAAAAAAAGTGAAATAAAATAAATAACACTGACGACGGGGGCCGCATTCTCAAAAAACAAGTGGAGACGCTCCCGTCGCCATTTCTCCCATTAAAAATCAGACGAAGGGCCAATTTTTGGAACCTAATTCCACATCAGCCTGATTCTGAACTTTGACTCTTCAATTAATTCCAGATTACTGGCCGAATCTCAACCGAGTGGCCAGATTATGTTGGGGGTGATACCATATTAGGAGAAAATGGAAGCTTTAGGCCGAGCCGCTTTTAATCACAGCCCGTCTGTGGTTGAAATGCGTCCGAAACATGACCTCATCTTAATGCTCAGTCAGGATCGGGAACATTCTATTGTTAAACGCGCCGTGGGAATTCACCAAGACGGCAAATTCGACTTGAACGACCGTCTTAAGGGTGACCAACTCGGGACGCTTTTCAGCGCGGTGGACACACACAACTTGGAAACTCAACGACCACGAGCCAAATACAGTACTTACCCTTGAGACCCCTCCCCCTCCCTCAAATAAAACAATAAATCAATCAATATCAAGAAATAAACACGGCACCGCAGGAGTGTCCAACCTTTTTGGAGCAAACTTCTACTTTTCAAGCTTTTCTACATGCACGCGTACGCGCGCACGCCGTGATGAGCAACGGCCACTAACATGAACGAAAGAGAAAATTCAAGACGAAAAACACACAAGTACCCTCACCACGATCAATTTGGGACCAGTCGGTGGGCCACCTCGAGGTTTGCTTTCATGCGATCCGTCTCAAATACGTGTCACATTTATATGCACCTAAATGTGAAATAAAAAGAAAATACAAAAATATCTTTGAAGTCAACGCCGGGGAAAACAATGATCTTTGCCGACATACTGCGTGCTTGTGCGTACTTCATGTTGTGATCGTTTATCTCGGTCGCAACCCGATGTCAACTTGCAAACGTCATTTGCACTTTATGACAGCAGTGATCAGTCCTCTCGAGGTGTTTTTTTTTTTAAATTTACTTTGAATGAACACAAAATCCACAAAGCCCATTTTTCTTCTTCTTCTTCTTCTTCTTCTTCTTTTTTTTTGTTATGTCAAGAAGCATCCCGTCTCTGGGAGAAAGCCTTTTGTCAATTCTCCATGGAAAGAATCAGCATTTGTATTTACGAATAAGTTAGACCCAGAGAAATGCAAATCAATATTTACACGTCAAATAAATACATCTTCAGAAGTAGTGTGTAGTATGCAGAGATATATTTATGTGCTCAACTCCCAAAGACATACATGCTGGACTTGGTGACATCTTCATCATTCTCAAAGTCCGTTTTTGTTTTTGATCTGCCCGTGCTGATCGACTGGCGCCTCCTTTATGGCATCAGACTGGCTAATCGGTGCCACAGCGCGCCTCCACATCACGCCAATGCTCTAAAACAAAAAGGACTTCACAAATGGTGAATATGGAAACAACAATAAATGCGTTGATTACGGAATAAATGCTTTTTGTAATATATATATATATATATATCTAGTAAACAGATGAAAGTAGTAAACATGTATATCATTGCAGTATGTGAACTCTCGCATCGAACACAAATATTAGAGCCACCATTGTTTCCATCGCTGTTGACTTTCTGCTCAAATATATACCAATCAACTTATAGGGAATATACATATCGAAGAAAGAGATCAACTTGCATTGGGAGCAATCGCAAATCTCGTCTCCGGTTCATGTTTGCGGGTACGGTGAATACAACATTGGAAGTGAGAGCACGTGGGAAAATCGCCACTCCAGCTTGCTGATGATGTCTTTGTGTACATTTCAAAAAAGTATATCGCCGCGCAGTTGCCTTATTCCAAGTTTCCCTCCCACATGATTTCCCATCCGAGCGACTTGCAGTTTCGTGGGAGCTGAAGAGCTCGACCACTGAGCCAACTTGCCAGCACTTTCCGCAAGGGGCGGCTCTCACAGGAGCCAAAAAGAGGAGCGTGGTGGACACTCGACAGAAATGGAACGACAAACGGGGAAACGACAAAAGAAGGTTTTGTGGTAATCACTCGCCATGAAGCGCATCGTAATTTGCAGGAGGGCTGGTGCACGTTTCATTTTAGGAACACGTCAATAATTTGCCATTAGCTGATTTAGTTTTAAGGGCTTTTTTTTGGGGGGGGGGGGTCAGGGGGTGAAGAGAAAAGCTCTTTCCTCGCTGACCGCTTCGGCTGTCGCTTCAGCCTTCATCAGAGTTGTCAATACTTCCCGCTGACGTGTCTTAAAAACAGCTGACCGGGTCAGGAAACAAAAAAAAAACAAAAAAAAAACAACAGTTGCCTGGAAAAAAAGAAACCTTCAACCTATTTTAATCATAAGTAGACAAAATGAACGCCATAGCGCTAGCTGATTTTGTATCATTGTTCAAGACAAGCTAACCAGAATATTTTTCCCCCTGGAAATAACACAACTTGTATTTTGGTGGAGGGGGATGACGACAGTAATTTAAGTTGAAATGACTGCCATGGATGGCCACAATGTCGGTCAGCACACCAAAGTTAGCAATTTGTTGGATTTTTTTTTTTTTTGCTTCAAAACAATTTGCTGAGTTGTTGGGGTGACAATACACGGGGGGGCCGAGAGTCCTTGAAACTCTTTTCTATATGCGTGTAGTACTGAAAATATTGATTTAACTGCCCAGCTTGACATTTTGGGTTCAAACTACTTTTTTTTTTCTTCAGTAAGGAAAATGACCCCCCCCCCACTTTTGCTCCAAGAGAGCATCTATCTATCTGTGAGCGCTCATCGACTAGAGACGCGAGGCGTCTCCCTCACATTCTCCAGTTCAGAAGTGTTTTGGTGGGGTTTCGGTCATGGCAGTCCAAGTTGTTCCACAGCAACGTCATCCAACCGTGCCGTGACGGACTTTGTTGTGTGCGCTGAGGCGCAGTCAAGCTGGAACAGACAGACTACAGTCCCGCGTATCGCTAGGTTGCCATTTTTCTGGCGCGAAATAAATAACTGTCAAATCAAAGGATTTGACAGTTCGTCAAACTTGTTTTTGAAGGGATGCCAAAATGCACTTTTGCGTCATTCGTGGGCAGATTGGCTCCGCCTTCAAAAACTCAATCAAGTCTGAACAAATGACCTTCTAATGACGCCCTCTCTTCATGATGAGAGTCGATTGTTAGTTATTGATTTTGTCAAAGAGGGTCGGTTCTGTATCGCAAGGGATACGACGTGGAGCGAAATTTGAGGGTCCAATTTAGTTTGAGCAGCTGACTTTTCGAACGGGATTGGAATGCGTGTCGGTGGAGAAGTGGGTGGGCGACGTTGTGGATTTTCTTTGACCCGACAATTGTTCATTCCACTTTTTTCTCGCATTTTGTTTATAAAAAAAAAAAAAAGAATCTTTCTCTCTTGACAACGATTCAATGTAATGATTCAAAATGTTCACTTTTAATTGTGAAGGGATCATATTAGAGCCAAATCCATCCAGCACTTCCCCACCCAGCTGCTCGCTCTCCGGCTCGGATTTAGTTGACCAAGAGCTCCTGGTACTGCTCGGACCTCAGGAAGCGACCGAAGGAGTCTTTTTCCATCAGGGCGTAGATCCGCTTTTGGGCCAGGTCAAAGCTTTCGGGAGTAAGATGCACCAAATTCCTCAGGGTCACGTCCTTGGTGAAATGGTCAATGTTGACCTGCAGAGACAAATGAAGGCAATGAGTTTTGATGAAGTTGAATGTACCTCAGCTCAGCCTTGTGCATCAGTTCCGAAACAGATTTTTTTTGGTCAAATCTGCCCGCCGACACGTCAAGTGCTGGCAAACGTCTTTCAAGACGGCGAATGCCGATCACTGAAATTGCACGAGGTTCGAAGAAAGAAGTGGTGGTATCGGGAGGCAAAATAACAAGGCCAGAGCGTCGCCGAAGACCGTCTTTTCTTAACAGGCCATTAACAGCCCAACACTCGTCCGTACAACTCAAAGAGTCGCCATGACGGAATTCCTTCTTTCATCTCGACAGTATTTTGATAGCAACACTGCCACCTAGAGTCAAGTCAAAGAACATAACGGAACCGATACGTGGTTTTGAGACCACACACACACTCCAATCAGACACTGATCATTTCTTTTCCCGAGCAACGCAGAGCCGCAACATAAGGATGAAAGAGTCGCATGCGGTTGCTGACCCCTGACCTCAATGCCATGCTGTTTGGAAACCAATCACGGTCAAGGTGTACAAGGAATCGAGTGGGAGAAGGGAAGCCTGACCTCTTTCGGTCCCTCGGACTGAATGTAGTCTTCGTAGATTATTTTGGCCTTGGCCGCCATCTTCACTGGGTTCTTGATCTTCTTGAAATCCTCACAGGCCATCCAGAACTCAATATTCTCGTCACTGAACTCAGACTGCAGGAAGCTACGGAAAGTAGCAAGACCATCTAATGGACGGAGGGCGAAAAATCACTTGTCAAAAACGAGGAGTGAGAATTTGCTCGGTGAACGGCTGCAGATTTGGGCTGAACATCATCTCACTCTTTGTGGAAAACAATATCTTTACAAATGCAAAACATAGACGAGACACAAAATGATTGACTTGGTTGTTGAAAGTGGTACCACACAAACACATCGGTGATTGTCCTGGAACACACGTAACGCTGTCGACGGCGAGTCAATGCAGCAGTTTTTCGGAAAGTAATTCATGACACGGTTTTCATGTTTTTCATTGCCGGACGACTTTATTTGGAAAGAAATACATGGTGTTTACTTTCCAGAATAATCAAGTCAGAAGCGACACGAGCTTGGTTCATTAAAAGCCATTGTAATTCAGCACAATGCCCTTCAAAGTTTCCATTGTCTGGTCAAGTGTGCGCTGCTGACGATAAGCCTTCTGCTCGGCCCGCGAGGCTTTTATCTGTCATCTACCGCACGGTAATGGCCGGCTTGGATGGAAATAGCCCTGGGCAGCAATCAAGCTGCTGTGCAAAGATACACAAAGAGACGCACGTGTTGACGGTGCTGACGAGCTGTTTTGTGGAGCCAAACAATAACGCTGAAAAAAAAACAAAAAAACTTCACATTTTGAACTGCTAGAAACGGAGGTCCCCAACCACCGGTCCGCGGACCGGCACCGGGGCACGGCCCATTTGGTAGCGAGTGACAAACAGACCTGGGACCTGGGAGCATATTTATTCACTCAGACGTGGCGGAAATGCGCGCGACTCGAGTCTTCCTTCTAACCTTGGTTTACAAGTTGAAATGAACAACATCTGCCAATCAATGAAAGAAGACGCATTCCACAGCAACTAATCGTAACGGCATCGACCAAACATACGTGCAGCTGACGGGTAGCCACGACTTCCGAAGATGAAGCTCGTTTGACAAGAGAAGTCCCTCCCCGAGCGACGTGGAGGAGGAAGCTGTTGAGCGTGGCGTGTCGTCCCCAACAAGGTAAGTCAAGAAAGCGGTTGTATCATTTGAACAAGTAGCACCCAAGTGATCAAGTGGAAAGCGTGAAAAAAGCGAGCGGAGTTTGAACAGCCTGCTCACGTACGTCAAGATTAGCAGGCGAGCCGCTAGTAACTAGCCCACAGCCACCGAATGAAAGCAGCAGTCAATCGTGTCGCATTTACAAGTAGCAATGATGCTAACGTCGCTTGTAAGATCATAACTTCACATTTTTTATTTTTATATGATGTAATTATTTTCCTGATTGGTCCGTTTCTTCGTAGTTGACTGTGTTATTTCATTTGCTTCTACATTTGCTGTACAGTACAATAACACTGAAAGGAATGAAATAAAAATTGCTATTAATTAAATGTTCACTGACCCTACAGTTATATTTGTTGTCAGGACCAGTGCTTTAATACGGGCAATTTAAAAACAATGAAAAAAACTGGTTGCCGGTCCGCGAACAGCATGTGTTTCTCTCAACTGGTCCTTTTGGGACCACTGCTCTCGAATACTAACCAATAGACGGACACAGGGAACATCATCAAGTGGTAGGGGTCAAGTTAGCGATGTCATCAATTTTGAAATCAGTTAATGGGCTCTGAACTGCTAGAAAAAAAAAATCTCTGAGTTTGCGTCTGGAAAATACTGCATGTATCAAATAACTCATGTTATACCCCCCCCCCCCCAAAAAAAAAGAAACACAAACCAACAAACACTCACCCAGCAGTAAACAGTCTCCCAGACACATAGCAGACCTCTAGAAGGCATTGTTTCCTGTTCGGGAATGGTTCTTGATGAACTCAAGATCAGCTCTTGTGTAATCTCAGAGGAACTTCTCCAAAATGACATCCGAAATAGTCTTCACCTCTGGTTAAATGTGTACGGACGGAACCAGCGTAGCGACAGTGAACAGACTTCTTAATCCGCAATGTCGTGTACGAGTGTCATCGTGTCCTACGTACTCAGATATGCTTTTGTTTGTGTGTGTGTGTGTGTGTGCGCGTGTGTGTTTGTGTGCTGAGACAGCCAAAGTAAGACTGAGATAAGGGAGCCAACTTACAGTTGTTGTTCAGGACTCGGTCCAGACTCTCACGCCACTGCGACGCTTCCTCGCATGACGGTCTGTGCGCAGAGAATGTTTCATGTCAACAAAATGTTGAGGGGAATCTTCATGCACATTCACGTTGTTCATTAAAATCTTGTGGTTTTTTTTTGTTTTTTTTTAAGAAAACCTTTATTTGTCTCACAATGGAGAAATTCCCAATTAATGAATTCATCAATCAATTAATTAATTAATGACAACAAATTCTGTATCCTCACTAAAAAAAAAAATCCCCTCCCTCAAAAATGCAATCAATTTTTTTTTAACATTGACTACAGATTCAATCATGGAAAAACAAGGCTGAAAAAAAATCCTCACGAGTCGCAGGATTTGTAAAAACAGCAGTTGATTTGTCAACTCATTCTGAATGCTTTGTAACAATTAGAAAAGTAAACGGAACCCAAAGACAAATGCAAAATCCTTTTTCTGTCGCCGATGTTGTGGGCATTTAGCCGTTTTGGTCGAATGGTTTTGCGCAGGGAACAGCTGCCGGTTCTTGCGCATTGAGCTGGTCCTGCTCGTGTCCTGCACGGATGCCACTCAGCAACCAGTCCTCCATTTCCATTGATCATACTCCTTGAAATCATCAAGTGGAAAACTGCCCTGCTATTTTCAATAGGATTTGCATCGAGTGACCAGGCAGGCTTAAATGCACAAAGACACAAAAAAAAAAGTCTTCATCCTCCAATCTTACTTGACCTCTCATGAATAAAACCAAATTTCGAAAAGGATCATTCGTGTGATGGAAAGGCCGAAAGCGCTTCATCCTTGATATTTTGTAAGCGCTGAAAAACGTTTGCGCTTGCGACTGCGGCTCGCTACAAACATAGTTAAGACGCAAGAAAAAAGAGTTACTTCTGCTGCTTCTCCGGCTTCTTCTCCGTTTTCTCCGGATAGGGAATGATGAGGTCGATTGCATTTTCTGGCTTTTGAAGCAAGACTCCTAATTTGGACTTGATCTCTTTAGCCCTGGAAGAAATAAAGCAGAGGCACACATAATAGTCGTCGTTGCTGTTGCTGTTTTGATTTTACTGATGACAAACCCTCGAGGCAAAATTCAATTGACACTCGGCTCAGTCGACATTTTGTGTTGCACACCACACGTCGAAGCAGATCCCGCACAAGCAAGTAGAGAAATCGGGGCACACAAAAACCGCACTGCACATTTTGAACTGAGGGGGTGGCTTTGCTCAAGGGCACTTCAAAAAGCAGCACGCAGACAAGTATCTCTCCCAAAACGAGTTGCCATTATCACATCTTGTCAGCAGCGCAACCTAAACCGTGACCCTCCAGTGACAAAACCAAACCATTGCATTTTTTTTTTTTTTAAATCACTGATTTATTATGCAACATCCTGCACACATCGATGATATAACGCTGCCAGAAACACAACATTCACGAGATGCATGAAACAAAAAAAAAAAAAATGCTGTTAATCTCGACGTTGCAGTTTTGTCATGACAATCGTTTCTCTGTTGAGACACTAATAAATATATTTTCCAAGTTGGAGAAACCTCTCATTCTAGAAAAAATAACTTTGCAGGTTGGTCTTACCTTTCAAGGCAGGTTTGCGGCAGGGCAGCTAATCCTTTACACATTCTGCAGGACCTTCAGGCAGTGTGCTCACAAATGTGTCGAATCGTGCGTGGTTTTGTTTTGTTTTTTTTGTCCAAAGTGAGCCTTGAGAGTTGCTCTCGCCTTCTGAGCGTGGCTTGAAAGACGGCGGGGTTTTATGCAGACCCCCTCTGGGCTGCGGGCCAAAAGTAAAGCCAATCAGACTGGAATGTGTGCAGCCCTGGCGACCGCAGAGCGCCGACAAAGAAGGAGGACAGGTGTTTACATTCGAAAACCTTTGGAGTGAAAAGATTTTCGAGTGGCGGCATATTCATCCTGAATTACAGGGCTGTTGTTATTAATTGGAATGGATGAATAAACACGACCACCCGCACACTCTGCCAAGCTACTGGGGAACTCCTCAAAAATATCGCGAAAGTCTTCAAAAATCACCAGGCGACACTTGTGAAGTGGCACAACGATGATCATTCGATCGAGGTGCTTTTCTGATCATGGATTGGACGGCCGTTTTATTTGACAACAACCCGATCAGTGGCTCCAGAGCTGTTGTCGCAGTCACATTGGAAAAGTAAAATCAAACGATTGAGTGCGATGACGGCTAATGAGCCTTTTTCCATATACGTACACACACACACATAACAAACTAAATTGCTACAGGGGGCCGAATTTCGGCACCAGACTTCACTTATTGGAAAATCACTCCAATTTTCTTGTACTCACCCACACAGCCTCGCAGCGAGCAGCAGGCTAAGAGGCTGACCTTTCCCCAGCTCTCGCTCTGGGAAACTCGTCTACTGAGGAAGAAGTTGTTTCCTGACATTTCCAAATGTATCTTCGCTCAATCATAAGCGACAATTTGAAACGGAATCAAACACGGGACTGTCCCCTTTGTACAGGAAAGAGACAAATTCATATTATTATTCCCACCAATTTATTCCTGCGATTTAGTGTCACTACTTCTGACCAAGATCATTCCATTTATTCGCTCACTACTTTTCCGCCGTTATATTTGACAATACCAATATACGTTTCGATATATAGAATGCAACCGTGCTGAGGTGGGGCTTTGATTTTATATATATATATATATAAAACCTTGTTCAATATTTTCGATGCTCATGGCTCAAGTTAAGACAGCAGGCTAACTCTTGATAGATGGAGACCGTTGCCCGTGTGAAATCTGTTTCATGCCGACCTAACAGGTGACAATACACCATTCATTTCACCAAAACACTTCTGTTGTTGTTGTTGTTGGGATTTAATGTATATTGCCCTCTCCCTCTCTTTGGGATGAACGTTCGGCCAGCCCCCTCGCTGCTCATCTTGAAAACTCGTCTTCAAACTTATTTTTATTCTTTGGCTTTTGGCTCAGCATGAGACTTGATTTTGAGTCGGACTGTTTTTGTGCTTTCCGCTCTCTGTTATGAAGTTACTGTTTGTTGTCG